AACCGAATTGGCTTACGTTAGGCAATCAGTTGGATGGCGTCCGACTCGTCGAACCACTTGTTGTTAAGCAATACACCGCTAAATACCCCGACGAGGCCCGCAATCTCATACCCAATGACACCTAATGGTAGCCATTAGTGCTCGCATTCGTGTACTAAATGTATTGTAAATATAATTATAACTAAATTACTGTATATAATATTGAATGCAATGTTTTGTATAATTGTTTTATAATTAAATTAAATGATTATTAAATCACTTATTGTAGGATAAAATTTGTGAACTGAATAAAAATGTTTTGTATTGAAAAGCCATGAAAATGATTGCATTGATTGCAGTATTTTTTTTACAAATTTGTAATTTTACAAAAAGCTGTAAACTTTGATATTTTTGTGTGAAATGCAATGCCTTTGCAATGCTTTCAATCCTTTTGTCTATAACTTGTGGCAAAAGTGTTGTCTTGTGTTTAATTTAATTGTTTTATTGGTTTAAACGTTTTAATTGATTCGCAAAAACTATAAACGTTTGATTTGATTGACATGTGTTCGCAATCAACGAGTTTTGCAGTCAATGAAATGAGTGATGAAGAGATGGCCACCGATGACAGAGACAGCCAAACGTTGGATCAATTGGTCGACGAAGACATGGATTGCGAGCTAATGATTACTAAATTGATTGAAATGAAGATTATGTGCGAAAGGATAGACAAAATGCACTGTATTTTGAAGACAAATAACAGTGATTTGTGTAAAGAGATTGACAGCGAAAGTGATGTAAATTTAGATATGAATCAAACAATTGATTGCAAAACATTGAAAATCAGTGCCAATGAGGAAACAAAACACGAATCGATTCATTCAAATGTTAGACAATTTAAATGTGATTTCAAGGATTGCAACAAATCTTATAAATGGAAACAAGAGTTAAATCGACACAAAAATAGCGTTCATTTAAATGTGAGAATTAAATGTGATTTCAAGAATTGTAACAAAAGTTTTATAGGAAAACAAGGATTAGTTAAACACAAACGTTGTGTTCATTTGAATGAAAAACCATTTAAATGTGATGAAGAAAATTGTGGCAAAAGTTTTAGCCAAAAATCAGATTTATATCGACACAAAAATAGTGTTCATTTGAATGAAAAGCCATATAAATGTAATGTAGAAAATTGTGGCAAAAGTTTTAACCAAAAATCAGATTTATATCGACACAAAAATAGTGTTCACTTGAATGAAAAGTCATTTAAATGTGATGTAGAAAATTGTGACAAAAGTTTTGGTGACCAATCAAATTTATATCGACATAAAATGTGTGTTCATTTGAATAAAAAGTCATTTAAATGTGATGCAGACAATTGTGGCAAAAGTTTTAATGATAAATCACATTTAAATCGACACAAACGCATACATATGAGAGAAAAACCTTTTAAATGTGATTTCACTGATTGTAATAAAGGTTTTACACGAAAAGATGTACTGAATGTACACAAAACTAATGTTCATTTCAAAAAGAAATAGATTTCAAATAATTAAGTTTTACTCAAACTTTTCGATTATAAAGTAATTCATTTCAAAGTATAAATTTATTAGTAATTTGTGTTCAAAAATACATATAAAATTGCGGTTTTAATTGTTGTATACAAACAGTTTATATAATAATATAATAAAATTCATAATAAATACCATAAAAGCAATTAAAGTGCGAGAAATAAGTGATGTGTTTGCGAAAGAAGTACACAAAACACCAATAGTTTGGCGGCAAATATCGGACACCACTATAAGAGATAACTAATGGATCCATCGGTTAAGGCATTCAATCAATCACTGGTCGTCTTTATCTTTGGCGCCGTGTTTTAGGATACGAGTGAACTCCAGATAATCAAACATTCCGTTCTTATCGATCGGCGCCTCTCTATACATGTCGTCCACCTGTCGGCCAAAGAGACAAAACAACACAATTAACACCACAATAACCAGAGACCAGATCCGCGGCCATCATCTGCGCCACAATCACCAGTACTCACGTCTTCGTCGGAGAATCGTTCGCCAATTGTGGTGAGAAGTTCGCGGAGCCTCTCCTCGTGGATGACACCGCTGTTGTCCTCATCGAAACAGTTGAACGCGTTTTTGATCACCTCTTCGGGGTCTGTGCCCTGAAGGCGTTCGCCGAAGAGTGTCAAAAACATGGTGAAGTTGATGGGTCCCGGGGCCTCATTCATCATACCCTCGAGGTATTGGTCCTCCGGATTCTTGCCCAACGAGGCCAACATGTCGTGCAGATCCTCCTTATCGATGAAACCGTCCCGATTCTGGTCTATCATATTAAACGCCTCTTTGAACTCTTGGATTTGCGCCTAAATCGAGACAATCGTTGTGTTAGTGACAAACATTGTGGTGATAATGGTAGGGGTGATGGCGATGTCATACCTGGTCAAACATGGCGAACACATTACTGGTGGCCCTTTGCGCCCGCTTTTTGGTGGCGGCCCTACCCTTGGGTTTGCGCGAAGACATCGATGACATGACTGGCGACGAAGTGGTGGCGGAAGCGGTGGTCAACGGCTTCTTATCAGCGGAGTCCAGATTTTTGCCGAAAAACAGCTCTCTTTTGCCGATCACTAGCGGAGGTCTGCCGACGGAAACGACAAGCGATTAGTTTTAATCAATAGATAACTCAATAATACAATTGATAGATAACTAAGTGTCAAAACAGACATTCATTTCAGTAAAAGTAATTATAATTATAATCAATAATACAATTAATACATGATTTAAATACCGATTTAGTTGTTGTTGTTGTGAGTTATGGCACACCCTTTCGCTCACACACTGTGTCTCTCCTTATGTCTCA